TTCGGGAATAGCTTTCCAACTGCATCCCCAAATACCTCTGCATTTGTCCATTTGCAGTTGAGTTTATACATTGCCCTGAATGTATATGGGTTGTCTCAGGAACCATGTCCTGCTGCAGATTAGTCACCACAGGAAGCAGAACTTGGCATTTCGATCTATCTTGAAGAGAAAGGCAGCACCGTTGACTGATGAACTCAATGCCAAGGGCAGGGGAGTGAGCCAGACCATCCTTCCATGGTGGTTGCCCATCTTCTGACTAAAGTAATTGGGAGGATGGTTTCAGCCAGTTCTGTGACACCAAGGCTAGAGAAGGGCATGGTGGCAGTGGTAGAGGGGAGTTGGCAGTCTGGAGGCTTATTTAGACTTTACATTTGGACCTTACATTCAAATGGACATTTGAAAAAGGCATTTGGAGATTTGGATGTAGACTCTTGGGCCCAGAAGGATATTTGAACTTGAGAAGTAGATATTTCGGCCCCAACACACACGTGCTATTTAAAATCACGGGCTTGAGAGCTGTGCTTACGGGAGATGTAGCTGGTGAGAGAGGCGCCCTCTGTGGTCCCTCAGGAACTTGAAGTCCAGCCGAGGAGGATGAACTGCCAAGGGAGACTGAGAAAAAGGGGTGCTGGGGTGACAGCCCCCAGAGAAGCAGGCCACCAATGGCCAGAGAGGAGCTGACAGTGAGGTGAAGGCCGGAGGAGGCTGTGGCTCCTCTAGTCCATTTCCCCAGCGCGGGGCAGGGACAGACAGGAAGCTGCGAGGTGGAGGTCGCCCCAGGTGGACCCGGAATGCCTGCTCTCAGAATCCTGGTTCAGTAGGTGGCAGGACCAGCCAAACCCCCACAGCAGGAAGGGGTTTGCCATCGGTCAAGAAATGTGGATTATTACTATTACCTAACAGTTTTATTTGCATATGATCCACATAACATACAATTCAATTATTCAATCACATCAAGAAGAGTTGTACAATCATCACCACAATGAGTTCTAGAGCATTGTCTTCATTCTTGGACTCCTCATTATCAGCGCCTCATTTCTCCTTCACCTCCCCTGACATACCTATAAA